ATGGAGAGTAAGAGAAAGTGAAGAGAAGCAGACAAAGGGAACAGAATGAAAAGGGCAAAGGCTGTACAAGACATACAAAAAAGACAGAAATGAAAGGAGGCGTACCATTGAGTCACGTCTTTACTCCTACATCTGAGGCCTGAATTACAAAACATCAGGGAATCCAAATATACCCAGTAGGCTGCCTTTATTCCTACCAGAGCCTTCTGTCGTAGCCTTTAGCCCAACTGCTAGGATGAAGGGCAAGGGTTAAGGTTCTATAAACAATCTGTTGCCTTGAGAGGTTTCTCTCAATGAGGAGGATTCCCATCTGAAATCTGGTCACCTGGGACACATGAGCACTGGGAGTTCCAAATCTCCATCAGACAACCTCCTGAGGAGTTTGGACGGCAGCATGGCATTTCATCTCAGAATGGCAGCTGGGAGATGTTAACACTTATTCTCTAATTGGGATAGTACGCTTTTAAAATAAATAGGTATTTCAAATGCTCTTAATTAGACTTCCAGCCAAAGTGCTTTCCGTTTGAAGTTTGCTGATTACTTCAGGCAAAGCTGGGCGCTGCTGTACCTGACACCTGCTGTAATTCAGAAGACTCCCAGACAGATGAGCAGAGGAATTAAGGCACTAGCCTGTGATTGAAAATAATGCAGCAGTTTTCCACAGGCCTAGGGAGTGTCTGCCCTAGCTAGAAGGACCATCCCTCAGAGGGGGTGGGGACTGGACAGCAGAAAGGATGGAAGATCTCTTGCCCACAAAGCCGTGGAAATGGCTTCCCATGTCCAAGATGAAAATTGCCCCTAGAGTTGAGTGGTATTTTTCACATCATTGTTTCTTTATTTTTTTTATTTTGAGACGGAGTTTCGCTCTTGTTACCCAGGCTGGAGTGCAATGGCACGATCTCGGCTCACTGCAACCTCCACCTCCTGGGTTCAGGCAATTCTCCTGCCTCAGCCTCCCGAGTAGCTGGGATTACAGGCATGCACCACCATGCCCAGCTAATTTTTTGTATTTTTAGTAGAGACGGGGTTTCACCATGTTGACCAGGATGGTCTCGATCTCTTGACCTCGTGATCCACCCGCCTCGGCCTCCCAAAGTGCTGGGATTACAGGCTTGCGCCACCATGCCCGGCCGTTTCTTTATTTTTAAGTTTCCATTTTCAAATTTTAGATTTGGGAGTACATATGCAGGTATATTGCATGATGCTGAGGTTTGGGCTTGTATTGATCTCATCACCAAGGTAGTGAACACAGAAACCAATAGAAGTTTTTCAGCCCTTGCTCCCTTCCCTCCCTCCCTCCCTTGGAGTCTCTGGTGTTTGTTGTCTCCATCTTTCTGTCTGTGTGAACTCAAGATTTAGCTTCCACTTTTAAGTGAGAAGATGCGGTATTTGGTTTTCTGTTCCTGAGTTAATTCATTTAGGTTAATGGCCTACAGCTGTATTCATGTTGCTGCAAAGGATGTGATTTTGTTCTTTTTTATGGCTGTGTAGTATTCCATGGTGTGTACCACATTTTCTTCATCTAGCTCACCATTGATGGGCACCTCGATTGATTCCATGTCTTTGCTATTGTAAATAGTGCTGCAAGGAACATATGTATGAGTGCATATGTTTTTTGGTAGAATGATTTATTTTTCTTTTGGTATACACCCAGAAATGGGATTGCTGGGTTGAATTGTAGTTCTATTTTTAGTTCTTTGAGAAATCACCAAACTGCTTTCCAGAGGGGGTGAGCTAATTTGCATTCCCACCAGCAGTTTATAAATGTTCCCTTTTCTCTGCAACCTGGCCAACATCTGTTATTTTTTTACTTTTTAGCAATAGCCATTCTGATTGGTGTGAGATGATATCTCATTGCAATTTTAATTTGCATCTTTCTGATGATTAGTGATGTTAAACATTGTTTCACATGTTTTTTGGCCACTTATATGTCTCCTTTTGAGAAGTGTCTGTTCCCGTCTTTGCCCACTTTTTAATAGGATTTTTTTTTCTTATTGATTCATTTAAATTCCTGATAGATTCTAGATATTAATCCTTCATTGGATGCATAGTTTGAAAATATTGTCTCCCATTCTGTAAGTTGTCTATTGACTCTGTTGAGAGTTTCTTTTGCTGTGCAGAAGCTCTTTAGTTTAATTAGGTACCATTTGTCCTATGTTTGATTTTGTTGCATTTGCTTTTGTGGTCTTTGTCATGGATTCATTGCCTAGACCAACGTCTACAAAAGTATTTCCCAGGTTTTCTTCTAGAATTTTAACAGATTGAAGTCTTACATTTAAGTCTTTAATCCATCTTCCATTAATTTTTGTATATGGTTGGAGGTAGGGGTTTAGTTTCATTCTTCTCTGACTGGTTAGCTATTTATTGAATAGGGTGTTCTTTTCTCACTATTTTTCTCATTGTTTATATAAATGAATGGCCATAAATAGAGCTACCATTTATTGAATAGGGTGTTCTTTTCTCATTGTTTATTTTTGTTGACTTTGTAGGAGATCAGTTGGTTGTAGGTGTGTAGCTTTATTTCAGGAGTCTTTGTCCAGTTCCATTGGTCTGTATGTCTGGTTGTATACTAATATCATAGTGTTTTGTTTAGTGGAGACTTGTAGTTTAGTTTGAAACTGGGTAATGTGATACCTCCACCTTTGTTCTGTTTGTTTAGGATGGCCTTGGTTATTTAGGCTTTTTTATGGTTCCATATGAATTTTAGAACAGTTTTTTTTCCTAATTCTGTGAAAAATGACATTGGTAATTTGACAGAAATAGCATTGAATCTATAGATCGTTTTGGACATTTTAACAATATTGATTCTTCCAATTCATGAGCATGGAATACTTTTCCATTTGTCTGTGTTACTTGTGATTTCTTTCAGCAGTGTTTTGTAGGTCTCCTCATAGAGATCTTTTATCTTTGTCCTTAGGTGCATTCCTAGATATTTTTATTTTTTGTCGCTATTGTAAATGGGATTGCATTCTTGATTTTCAGCATGAAAGTTTTTGGCATATGGAAATGATACTGATTTTTGTACATTCATTTTGTATCCTGAGACTTTGCTGAAGTAGTTTACCAGGTCTCGGAGTCTTTTGGCTTAGGGTTTTCTAGGTATACAGTCATAGTAGCAAAGAGAGATAATTTGACTTTTCTTTTCCTGTTTGGATGCCTTTTCTTTCTTTCTCTGGCCTCGTTGTTCTGGCTAGGACTTCCCAGATTGTTGTTTCTATGGAACCAGAAACATGAAGGCTGAAGAAGAGGACAGATGTTTCAGGGCCAGGTGGCAGCTCTTGGGGATGACTCCACATCCAGGGACCTGCCCAGGGTGAGCATGAAGCAGGATACAGAGGCCCATAAGGTCACCTTCGTACAGTTTTCCAGCAGAGGTCGTTTTACCTTCTCAAGCCTGGCCCAAGGAGTTGGGGCCCTGGGTCACCCTGGCTCTTTGTTTAAGACACTTTGCAGAATCTCAATTCTAAGTGTGTGCTCAAGTCTCTGGAAGTGGGAGGGCAGTGTACCTGACCCCTGAGTCCCAGGGCCAACAGTGGGAAGCTCAGAGCTCTAGTCACTACGGCTTAGGTGCCCTTGTCCTATGTTTCTTATGTAATCAGTAGTTATTCTATATCATCATTATTACTACTGAAACTAAACAACCAACTTTCATAATAATACAAGCTACAAGGTCAAATGAGCCATTGCCATGACTTTAGGGGCTCTCCCCCATTTCCCCACCATTGGCCTGTGTGCTGGATTTCTCCAATTGCAGGTCACTGAGGGCTCACGTCATCTCAAGTCTCACAGGGAACATTTTTTTTTGGTCTGGAATACATGAGTTTCTTTCTTCTTTCTTTCTTTCTCTTTTTTTTTTTTTTTTTTTTTTTTTTTTTTGAGATGGAGTCTCGCTCTGTCTCCAGGTTAGAGTGCAATGGCATGATCTTGGCTCACTACAACCTCTGCCTCCCAGGTTCAAGCAATTCTCCTGGCTCAGCCTCCCATGTAGCTGGGACTACAGGCATGCACCACCATGCCCAGCTAATTTTTGTCAAGACGGGGTTTTACTATATTGGCCAGGATGGTGTCCATCTCTTGACCTCGTGATCCACCTGCCTCAGCCTCCCAAAGTGATGGGATTACATGTGTGAGCCACTGTGCCTGACCTCTGAATTTCTTATTTAATCCAAGCTTCCCACAAATTGTTGGTCCCAGCTAGCTGGAGAGGCAACAAGGTAGTTCTTCCCAGGAACTGGTGGTTACCAGTCCTCTGTGAGGTATACTTTTCTCCCAGGTGACTTCATTGGGTCACAAAAGGGTGTTTTCTGCAGATGTCCACCGCTTAAAAGGTGCCAAGGGCCACTTAGAATATGACTGTCCTGGTTTAGTCTTTGCATTCTTCATGTGTTGAAGTGGGCTGATCATTGCAATGGGCAGTAAACAGTATGAGAGCTAAGAGCACCAAGCTTGGACTCAGACAGAACTGGGTTCAAATCCTTGTTTCAACACTCACTGGCTACATGACCTTGGGAAGGCACTGAATCTCCCCCATCTGGTAAATGCACTTACCTCTTTGACACTGTGGATGGAAGGAGCCTGCATATGAGGCTGTGCAACAGACATGAGTCTGTAAACATATACTCTTTTCATCATCAATCATTAACTATTTCTGTTAGGATTAGTTAGTAGTGGCTCTGAAAAGTTCAGTTAAGACCCTGAGGAGCTGGGACACAAGGGATGAATTTAGGTTGGGGATACGGGGTGGGAAAGGTGAAGGGGATGAGGCAACAGATGGAAGGGTAGGGTGCCAGGTGCTAATAGCCAGGTACAAGAACATGGGCTGGGGAAATGGGTCCATAGAGGGGGAGCATCCAAGGAAAGCTGTGTGGATAGCAACCCTTGCCGTCTTTAACCTCAGATAGTGTTTTAAATGAGGTATCTTTTAGCTGGGTTTGGAGTCCCAAAATCAGGTCAGTTTATATTACCTTCATCTTCTTCCTGCAGATCCTCCTTTTACCTACCTAGAGCTACTTGCTGTATATGCCGCTGGGTGATTTCTTCCTTCAGGTGACCTGCCAAAGACACAAAGGAAAACTACCAGTGGGTTTCCAATGGGCTGGAGGAAGACTGCCTCAGGAGCATGTGGCAAGCTACAGAAAAAAAAAAAAAGGTAGAGTAAGGGAGACAAAAGCAGGCATAGCTTCCAAGAAATGCCCTTCCGTGCCATAGATAGGGTCGGAAGAAGAGGTTACAAAGGCCTAGGTGTTGGCACATGAGTGCAAATACACATTTCACCCTTGAGTTCAATCATCTTAGGGTTCGATTATCTTAGTCCATCAACCGTAACTTTTGCTGAGGCCCTGTTCTCTTAAATAGTTCTTTCTATTATTAATAAAGGGAAAGGCAGAATTTGGCCTTTTAATAATTTTTAGGCCTACTTTGAAATCCACTGATTTCTTTAAGCTATATGAAACTGCGTCAAATAAAAAAAGATGGTGGTTTTAGCTGACTAACCCTAATTGTTGATCATTTGGTATGAAACTCCTGTAATTCTAGTTTACATTAATAAAGCTATGGTGCACAGAGAACAGTGATAATTTCCTATAGGAAGGTGATTGTTTGACTGTGCTCTACAAGTGAGGAGACTTCAGCTGGTATTTGTTCAGGGAGTTACTCTGCATAAGGAACAATTGCAAAATAGAAAATATGTGGAAGATGGTGACTGGAATGGTGAGGGGTCTGAAACTATGCCATATGAGAAATAGTTAAGGTGACTTGAGACATTTAGATGGAGAAGACGAGACTTGGAGAGGAGGAGTGGAGATAATTGCTGTCTTTGAATATCTGGATTGGCATATGAATTATAAACAGTTTTGTTTTTATCTTACTCTTGAGGGCAGGAGTTAAGTCAAATGAATGCAGACTTGGGGCTCAATACAAGGAAGAAACAGCTATCAAGGAGGACTGTCTCAAAATGGATTAAGTTGTCTCAAAATGGATTAAATCTTCTGGCAAAGCAGTGAGCCCCTTCCTGAAAGTGTTCAAGCAAACGCTGGGTGACCATCTGTTGGGTTGTTAGAGTGAGAATTCCTGCCCTGGATAGGATCTGGAGGCAATGACCTTCAGGCTTCCTCTGTCTCTAAAATTCCTTGATTTCGTGCTTGAAGGATGGATGAAACAGCAGCCCGGAGTTTGTTTAAGTCCAAGGGCTCAGCACACTTGTTAAAATGTCAGTGTTGTCTGCATTGCATGTCCCATTTGGTTGGGGGGATGTGATCGGGACACTGGGGGATTCCAAGAAAGCTTGGAAAACTCATTGCTTTCTTGTCTAAGGTATTTCTTTCCTCATGTAAGTACATTCTATTCTTCCAAGGGTATAGCTGAATTGAGGATTCAAAAGATACGTAGACAAGGAAGCAGCCACAAGAGTTTTTTTTTTTTTTTTTTTTTTGAGACAGAGTTTCGCTCTTGTTACCCAGGCTGGAGTGCAATGGCGCAATCTCGGCTCACCGCAACCTCTGCCTCCTGGGTTCAGGCAGTTCTGCCTCAGCCTCCTGAGTAGCTCGGATTACAGGCATGTGCCACCATGCCCAGGTACTTTTTTGTATTTTTAGTAGAGACGGGGTTTCACCATGTTGACCAGGATGGTCTCGATCTCTTGACCTCGTGATCCACCCGCCTCGGCCTCCCAAAGTGCTGGGATTACAGGCTTGAGCCACCGCGCCCGGCTGAGAATTTTTTTTACTTACGGAGAGTTCTAGGGCACTCCTAGCATGTTATGACTGGGAGGGATGGCAGAGGCCATTCAGTTCAACTTTGCACCCAATTTAGGAATCCCTTCTACAGAAGGAAATGGGCATTTCCCTTCTGACTTGCAGGTATTCAAGGTATTCCATTAAGTTATATATAAGGAATTAATTTTATAGACTTGCACCTAGTTCCCTATACTTCAGCTATTTGCCTGGCCTGTTCTCAGATCAGCACAGAAAAAGATCCTCTTTCATTGTCAGTGAGAGCCCTTCACACATCTGAGGATGCTATGATTGATTTCTCTACTTCGACTTGCCCTCTCTTAAGGACTGGTCAAACATCACCAGTCCTTAAGTGATACCTTGGAGGCTACTGTCTCCAGGCACATCATTGTCTTGGGTGAGGGTCTAGGGCACCTGTATGTCTGTGCCTTGGTCTCCATGTGTCCCCACTGGAGTAGATCATGCATAGAAAGCATGGCAGGCATTGGGCCTAAGCAATGACTGCACCCTTATTCCATGTGAGGGAAGAGTGGGGACTTCAGAAGTGTGCTGAGGGGGACTTGGAGAAGTGGAAACTTGGCCCAGTGATGAGTATTGGTGAACCTGGATCCAAGAGGGGAAAATGACTTGACACCTGAGCCAGCCACAGCCCCAAATGGATCTTTTCCCCACTCGGTGCGACTTGACCCTTATTGTCCATATCAGCAGAGTAAAGAAATTGGGGACATAAGGCTGCTGCTGGACTGGGACTCTAGGCTGCATCAAACACTGCTGAATTGAATTTTAAGACAGAACAGCACATGCATGCTCCAAATTAAAGGAGATATTGCTCCAGCACACCACTTGGAAACATTTCTTGATTTAGAATGGGTCATCAAAGCCTTTTTAATCCTGCAGTATGGAGAACCAGTGGTGCTTTGGTATCCTCCCTATTTCCTGGGTATCTGGCACAGCCTTACACCATAAGCCTCTCATATGCCTGAGTACTGCCTTTCTAATGAGCCCGGACAGTGGCTTGCTCCTTTAGAGCATACAGTGGGTCACGCTGCTCCATGGAAAACTACCTCCCTGATAACAAGCCTCCCCAATAGTAAGCCTTCCTGACGATGGGCCTTGTGGACCACATGCCTCCTGACACATGCTTCCTCAAGTCTGTGCTTCCCAACCCCATGCACTGACCACAGTAGGTGCATTCAACCCTTTGTTTCCCAAGCCCTAGGAAGCCCTAGGGAAGCTTGTTTTTGGAATGACAGGGTTAAGGATTCTTTACCACCCCTGGTTTAGGAGGAGCTGCTCAGGTAAATAAAGAGGAAATTTTGCCACCACAAACATAAATAGTCTCAGAACAATGAGGCACTCCCAGGGGACAAAAAGTGGGTCTTTATAATATTACATATGGATAAAGACTGTTTTACAATGTGGTTAGTGATATTCAGTTTTGGTGAATTGACTGACATCTTCCACCACGTGGCAACCTTTTTTAATTTCCCCAGACAAGCTTCCAAAAATAGCCTTATGGCTGATACCTAATTGCATTTTCTAACAGAGCTATTCTTCATGTGCAGATAACGGTCTCTGTAACCTGCTGGATCTTGCAGCTCCATGGGTTTTGGCAAAAGAAGGAGTTGAGGGGGATTGCAGAATTCACTCAGCATGCAGCTTGCTGTCATTACCAGGGTGATAAATTTGCTGGTTTTGGCCTAGGTTCCTGGACACATCCCCATCCAGAGGTATGGAAAAGAGATGAAATGGAAACAGAGAACTCCCAGCCTGAGGCTGGAGACAGTCTGGGAGGGAAGTAAGGAGCCCAGATTGGGGCTGAAAACCAAAAGGGCAGGGGAGGGAGGGAATGCTCTGCCTGCATGAGTGTCCATAATTAGTACTTTTTCCTCTAGTAATTGACCACAGTACATGCTAGAAACACCTTCTCTCCCTTTTGATTCATTAATTGATGGAATGGAGGTGGCAGCGGGGAGCAGAGCTTATAGTAATCCATGGGAAAGCTACAGAGGAGAGGAGTGACCTTAAATATGACCGGGAGCAGGGTACATGGAGGTGGTGCTCCTTGTGGTGTATGGGTTTTCTCTGTTACCGAGTAGTTTTAGGGAAAGTATTAACATAATGCAGAAGTGAAACTGATTTTTTTAAATATCAATATACAGTCTTTTGAATAAAACAATTTTCCATAAGCTTCACACTTTATTTTGCATGCATGCTAGTTTGAGATTGTTCACCACGTGAAGGCTGCTTGGCTGGCCCAGAGGAGAGCTATTCACTTAAGAGCTATTCACTTACAACTCCCTGAGTGGCTGTCTGCTGCTCCTGCAATTTCTGTGATGCTGTGCCTCATTAAAAATGCTTATGTTGCTATCAAGCAACAAATACTTATCTCTCATCTACTATAGGTTAAGCACTATGTTCTAAGTGCTGTGGAATACACACACTCATAGACAGCTCTATCTCAGCCTAGGAAAGTCAGTGCGGTATAGAAATTGGCAAATAGGTGGCCCGTGTGCTCTTTCTATTAAATGCTGGACCAACGGCTGGCCTGGCTCCTTTATCAGGGATGGTTTGCTTTTCTGCTGAGCCTGACTTTGGCTCTTCCATACAGTACTCTGCACAGCTATAGCCCATCACTTGGAGTTGGGCTTGAGATATAGCAAACCTCTTTGCCATTTCAGTTATTCTAGAAAATGGTTGCAAGTCTGATCCGGGTGTGGTGGCTCACGCCTGTAATCCCAGCATTTTGGGAGGCCGAGGTGGGTGTATCACCTGAGGTCAGGAATTTGAGACCAGTCTGGCCAACACGGTGAAACTCCGTCTCTACTAAAAATACAAACATTAGTCAAGCATGGTGGCAGGCACCTGTAATAATCTGATGTACTCGGGAGGCCAAGGCAGGAGAATCACTTGAACCCAGAGGCAGAGGTTGCAGTGAACCGAGATAGTGCCACTGAACTCCAGCCTGGGCAATGGAGTGAGACTCTGTCTCTGGAAAAAACAAAAAAGAAAAAGAAAATAATTATGAATCTGATGAATCCGGAGGTAGACAGAGTTGAGTTCAAATCCCAGTTTTGCTACTTCTTAGTTGGATGGGCTAATTAACATCTCTAAGCCTCACTGCTATCATTTGAAAAATGGAAATAATACTATAATGGCAATAACATCTGTTTTACTATATCTCAAGATCTTTCGGAGGAGCAAGGGATAACACACCAGCATGTATGATATACCACGCTGGTTTCAGGCATTCAGGCACTTTCAGACATATTGGAAAGATACTACGTGGTTAAGATGACAGGCCAAGCGGCTAAACGTCA